AAAAAAACATACACAAAAAAAAAAATATGGACAAAAATAAAAAACACGTATTCAGAGATCACGTTTACATTTTTAATTGGAAAATGTATTCTCTAAATACGTTTTACAATTATTTTTTTTTTACAATGTGAAACTTATTTTGTGAATACGTTTTACAATGAAAAACGTATACGTGGTTTTGATTGTTCTCCACATCTTTCTTTTTGTGTTTTTATATATCCAGTACTTTATTTTTTTTTATTTTCCCGTAAAAAAATCCAATAAATCTGCTGAATGAATTAGAAACAGGAAAAAATGTTGAGCCTCTCATTATTTCAAGGATCACAATGTGAACTTCAATATATATATATATATATATATATATATATGGTTTCTCTTAGCTACAAAAGTACTTAATCCTAAACACCTGACGATGGGCTAGTCCTGTAAATGGGATGCCTTGCCATTTGCAGAAAATCGGGCTCGTCCAGCCCGACTTAACACACAAGATTTAACATGTTGTAACAAGTCAGCCGTTAATCAAAGACAACTGATAAACAGAAGGTATCGGCGTTTGATAAACGAGCCGAGTTCGAACTCATTTAAATCTCATAGTCAACGAGTCGAGCTCAACTTAAAAAAAAAATTATTATATATTTTCTATAGCTCGAATTATTAAATCTCGAGATCGACTCGTTAACGCTTGAACTCGACTAGTAATTAGTAACAAACGAGTTGAATTCGAGATCGAGTTCAACTCGGCTCGTTTACATACTTAGCTGTAACAAGTCAGTCATTAGTCACAGACGACTGACCAACGAAAAGTATCAGTACGTATTAACAGGTCGTGGATGGAGGAAATTAATTAAGTAAATATGTAGAGTATCAAAAATTAAAATGGAATACTTAGGGTATCAAAACAGACATTTTTCCTTATTGCAAAACTATTTAATAAACTTTTCCAAGAATCACTATTCCTAATTGTCACATGCTAAAGAATAAAATGCCTCATGTGGGTGATGAGTATGTATTTAAAATTTTTTTAACTCACAAATAGCAAATTCATAAACCATAATAATAATAATAATAATAATAATCCCAGTTCGGGATGTCTCTTCGTTCCGGGGCGTGTTGTGGTTGATGCCGCTCAGCGCAAACGTGCGAAATATGACGCCTTGTGTGCAACTAAGGGCTATGGATTTCTTCCATTC